GGGTCCAGCTTCTCAGGGCTCTCTCCCTGAAAGCCATCCACTGAGGTCCTGCCCTTTACGGGGCTCTTAGGCACGAGAATCTTGATCCCTGACTTGGCGAGGTCCATGTTCTTGCGGTTTTCAAGAGATGGGGCTGTGTTTTTCCTGAACTTCTGGCTGGTGGCCAACAGCTGGCTGTTTTTGGACTCATGGTCTTTGCCCACTACGAGCGCTTTGGGGGTAGTCTTGGAGAGGTTGCTGTGGATGGACCTGGAGATCTGCTTCCGGGCGTTGTTGGGGGAGGATCTGTTGGCCCGGGCCAAGCTACCTTCCTTCTGCCTCTCGCTGTGGCGTGGATTGAAGTCATGGATGTATTCCTCACAGTTTACCAGGTGCTGTTCTGGCTCCCACGTGTCATCCTCACTCTCATAACCTTTCCAACGCACAAGATACTCTGTCTTTCCTTTCTTGTTTTTCCTTTTGTCAACAATTCTTTCCACCTGACTAGAAGCAGTGAAGGAGATTCAGTCCATTTTACTCCTTCTCCAGAAACTCACAAAGAGGCAATATGGATGTACAATACTACTCAAGTACAACTCTTCGACCAAGCACCATAGCTATTTTCCATCTCTGGAGAGCAATGACTGAAAACAAAATTTGAGGTCTCTTCTTTCTCCCATCCTTCTCCTATGACAGCCAACGCAGCCCAGGCAACGGCTTTTGAAACCTCAAAGCCCACTCCTAGTAACACACCTCTTCCAAGAAGGCCACACCTCCTAATCCTTCCTAAACAGTTCACCAACTGGGAACCAAACATTCAAATATATGATCCTATGGGGCATTCTCAGTCCCCACAAATGTATTAACATATAACTGGAATAGAAACTTAGGAATTTTTTCAAGTGGTGGGTGAGGAAACAAGTCTTGTGTAGTCTAGATTGGTTTCAAAATCTAGCCAACGATGACCCTGAACCTTCTACCTCCACTTTCCTGAGTGCTGGGATTACAGAGAAACACAAGCACATACTATGGGTAGTGCTACAGATGGAACCTGGGCCTCATGCATGCTAAGCAGGCACTCTATAAACTAAGCTACAACCCTGGCCCCAAGAAAACTTTCATTACATCATTACACTAAAAAGTAAACAATGGAGGCTTAAAAGATAGCCCAGTGGCTGGGAACACTGGCTGTTCTACCAGAGGACTGGGGTTTGATTCAAGCCTCACATGACTACTCATAACTATCTGTAACTTGATCCAGTCCCAGAGATCCAATGCCCTCTTCTGACTTCCACAGGTACAAGCACAGTTACAGTGCACAGACATAAATAGGCAAAGCACCCCACACATAAAATAAATGTTTTTCAAGACAGAGTTTCTCTGAGTATCCCTAGCTGTCCTGAAACTCACTATGTAGACCAGGCTGGCCTCAAACTCAGAGATCTGCCTGCCTCTGCCTCCCAAGTGCTGGGATTGAAGGCACCATCATCAACCAACTATAATTTTCTCAAAGTGTACAATAACATATAAATGGCTTCAAATTAAAAATTACCTATAACTTTCTTTGCCTAATAAAAAACAGTGAATGCCAAAATTCAAGTGTTATATGTAAAATAGACATATATTTCTTTCAAGATTTATATAATAGAATACCATTCCATAATAAAAATGCAATGAACTACTAAGAGGAGAGAGGAAAAAAATAGAATACTAAAAATATTAAGATAGTATCCTAATTAGGGTTACTATTGCTATAATGAAACACCATGACCAAAAACTAGTTGGGGAAGAAAGGATTTGTTTAGCTTACACTTCCACATCATAGTCCATCATTGAAGGAAATTAGGATAAGAACTCAAGGAAGGTAGGAACCTGCAGAAACTGATGCAGCAGTCATGGAGGAGTATTGCTTACTGGCTTGCTCAACCTGCTTTCTTTTTTTTCTTTTTTTTTAATATAAGAAAGCATTTAATTAGAGGCTTGCTTACAGTTTCAGAGATTCAATCTATTATCATCATGGCAGGGAGCATGTCAGCAGCCAGCATGCTGGAAAAGTAGCTGAGAGCCTTATCCTGATCCCTGGACAGAAAGTGACTCTGGAATTGGCATGAGCTTTTGAAACTCCAGGGCCTACCCCCAATGACATACTTTTTCCAAACTAGGCCATATCTGCTAATCCTTCTAATCCTTTCAAATATTGCCACTCCCTGAGACTAAGCATTCAAAAAATGTCAACTTATGGGGGCCATTATTATTCAATCCACCACAGGTAGTAAGTCTTTTTAACTGCTGAGCCATCTCCCTAGCCACCTAAATAAAAGTCTTGAAGAATCTTTCAAAAATAAAAAGATGCATCTATCAATCTGCTTTCTTATAGAACCCAGGACCACCAGTCCAGGGATGGCATCACCCAAAATGGGCTGGGCCCTCCCACATCAATCACTAATTAAGAAAATGCCCCCATAGGCTTGCCTGCAGCCCAATCCAATGGATGCATTTTCCCAGTTGAGGTCCCCATCTCTCAAATTACTCTAGCCTTGGTGTCAGGTAAATGAGCCAGCACAGCCAGGTTATTTTCTAAAGCAGTAATTAGAAATAACATGAAATTCTAAAACAGGTAAATGTTATGTAGGTGTATTTGTTTGCTTGCTTGCTTGTTTGAGCAGGGTCTTGACATGCAGCTCAGGCTGGCCTCTAAATTGTGATGTTCCCAACTCAACCTCCCAACTGCTGGGTTAAAGGCATGAGCCATTGTACTTGGTTATGTTGGATTTTAAACAATCAGCAGGGGTTGGATGAGGTATAAGGAGACTGACTAGGAAAGAGGAAGAGGGAGGAACTGTAATGTGCTAACATTCTGAATCGTTTTGTTTTTTCCCCAAGGTTGGAGATTGAATCCAGGCCTTCTTGCATGTTAGCAAAAGATTGATTGTAGACTGTTACTTGCAGGTAGGTATATAAATATTTACTACAAAATTCTTTCAGTGATTTTGTATGTCTAAATAGTTGGTTAATAAAATGTTTGGAATTAGAAGTTTTTAACAAGTAAACTCACACAGGAAGACCTACTAGCTCTCATGATACATTCACATTAGTTATTCATTTGGAGCTAGAGATGTTTGATCCCTAGCTCATTTGACAAAGTGATTACCTAGCATGCAAGAAGACCTAGGTTTGATCCTATGCATTGCCTAAATGAAGTTGGATGGCATAGGAAAAATTTTAAGGTAATTTATAGGTAAATAGGGAGCTCAAAATCAACCTACATTACATTAAACTGTCTCAAAAGAAAAATAAACAAAATAAGTAAATTGTGCTGATATTTTTATTTGCATTTACTCATTTATTTATTTCATTATTTACAGAGCAATTGAAAAAATAATATAATTTCAAGTTATACCTACTAGCTTAATCAATTCAAAAGACTATAAAAATACATTAATCACCCTGGAGGGGTCACAGGTACTTAATATATTATTTAAAAGAACTAAATAAAAGCACATATTTAGACAAAAAATGTAGGTAGTATCTAAAAAATGTATACAAAGATTCAGCACAATTCTGTTCGTTTTAATTAGATTGCCTAATTTAAAAACTTACTCCTGTATTTATAAACTATGCACTAAACTTCATTTACTTAAGTATTTACAACCAAATATTTTACTTTGAGAATTTGTGGACCTTAAGATTGTTTTAAAGTATGATATTTAGATACAGTATATTTGGTATCTATTACAGTCTTCTAGATAATTGTTCTTCAAGTTTGCTTCATCAAAAACTTTTACCTTTACTATACTAAACTCTGAGTTATGGCACCAAAAAAGAATATATAAATCAGTATAATTTACTTCTTCAGCCACCCTCAGCAGCAGTGTAATACAGTCAACACAATTCACTGCACTCTGAGAGTTACATGGCTATTTAAATGACATCACACTAAAAGGAGGCATAGGGCTGTAACACATATTTTAACATTTATATGAGTAAAGAGAAACCAAAGTAGAGCAACTCAAAATGAAATCATACAAGTTGTTGCCTCATTATTCAAAAGGGAGTTATTCTGAATATTTCATGAGATTAAAAATAAAAAAGCTTGGGCTGGAGAGATGGCTCAGAGGTTAAGAGCACCGACTGCTCTTCCAGAGGTCCTGAGTTCAATTCCCAGCAACCACATGGTGGCTCACAACCATCCGTTATAAGATCTGGTGCCCTCTTCTGGTGTGCAGATATACATGGAAGCAGAATGTTGTATGCATAATAAATAAATAAAATCTTTAAAAAATAAAAAATAAATAAAAATAAAAAAGCTTAACCAGGCGATAGTGGCGCATGCCTTTAAATCCCAGCACCAGAGGCAGGCAGATTTCTGAGTTCAAGGCCACCCTGGTCTATCTATATAGTGAGTTTCAAGACAGCCGGGGCAATAGAGAGAAACTCTGCTCAAAAAAACAAAAACAAAAAGAGAGAGAGATCAGATAAAATAATCATTTACCACATTTGAAGTATCTCTACAGAAACACCTAAAATAAAAACAAAATAACACCGCACCCCACCCCGTGTTCCCAGCATTTCCCACACTGTATGAGGGTATCCCACATTGTACGATGGCCCAGTAGCCAAGATGTCAGGCAGCTTCCATCATTGCTAACACAACTTCCTCCTCAGTACTCGCTGAGGGAAACCTGTCCTCAGCAAAATCTGCTCACAAGTCACAGGTAGTCCTCAAGTTCAAAGTCTCAATATCACAAAGAAAGAGGTGGTGAGATTTAACTCAAAATCCCTGGGCCACGCTCTGCAAGATCAAATTAAAACAACAGCCCAAGAAAGGTTCTATGGTCAAGTGGCTAGTTCTTTGATTTACTTGGGAATTCTCATAAACCAGCTTTGAAAATATGGTTACATAGGGGAAGGAATTAGTGAATGGGGCAGGATTATTATGCTTTTATAACTTTTACAACTAAAACAATAGTGACTCTTTAAAAAATTCAGTAAGCTTACTCTAATGAATGGAATTGTAGATATAAAATACAAAAAAATAGGTTTATTATTCTGCATAGCCCTTAACTACTAACAAATTGTGCCACTTGACACAAACAGCAAATTTGAACAATGCCAAAGTGTGATTACAATACTACTTTATGTACAACAAAGGAATTTTCAAAGACATCTATATTTTTTTAATTTCTACACTGATTATAGAACCAAACCATCAAAAAAGATGTTTCTTTAAACACTGAATTACTTTCTACAAACATTTCACAGAATTAATTTTCTACAAAGACACTTGTAAATGGGTTTCGCTATACTATACAAAGTCAATACTCAGACTGAATGTTAACTACCAAGTCTGAGCAGCAACATGCTGAAATAATGAGAATTAGACTTATCATATCTTATTTTGAATAATTTCAAAAGGGTTTCTACTGTAGACATTATTTACTAAAATTATATTATAAAATATATTACCTCAAATTAGAAGATTCATTACATTTCAACTGAAAACCATAGCACAAATTAAAAAGGCAAACTGCCATGAGAATACATTATGACCTTGAACATAAATAAACAAATTAACCTAGTAGCCTAAGAGTTCACTCTATTTACTCTTTCTATTTCTATAACCATTACTTATATCACTACATTTGATAGCATTCTCCCTAATTCACATCTTAATTGTGTCATCTCTATAATCAAAAGGCCTTCAACAGCTTCTCACTTTATATTCAGTTAAATCTGACTCCATGAAAATAGCATTTAATGTAATCCATAATTTGATAACAACTGACATTTTACCCACATTACTCTTCAATGAGAACCATTGAGAAGCCGCCATGATTTAAGCACCAAGTTCAACTCTCAACCATTAGCTAGCATCAGAGTCCCCAGAGGACACTATTCACAGACTGCTGAACCCTACCCCTGGTTTCTGATTCACTGGATGGATTCACACTCTAAAGAGGTAATACAACACTGATACTCCAGTTCAGGACTGACACTATTGTCTTAATTGCATTGTGTTTGTGGTGCTGTGGATGGAACCCTGGAGCCTTGATTACACCAGAAGAACCCTGAATCATCAAACCATGGCCACATCCTCACCTGGGCTTTTTACTCTAAAGACCACCAATTAGAAGCCTGAAAGCCCTGGAGCTGGCATGCCTAAACTGTTTTAAAAAGCATTCTGAATGACTTGCAAACATTTAGAAACTGGAAAATCTCACACAAAATAAGATTTCTGGCGTATTCCTGAATGTAAAATTCAACTTGAACTAAACAGAAGCTACCCAATGTAGTCAAGAAAGATGTCCACCAAGCACTCCATTAATCCAGCATCCCAGAGGTAGATGATCTCTGTGAGACTGAGGCCACCCTGGTCTACAGAGTGTGTTCCAGGTCATTCAAGTTACCCCAAACTTTCTACCTATCCTCCCTTCAAACTTGCCTGGCTTAGAGAGCATATGTGCTTGGACACCTTGATCTACTCCATCCTGTGTTTTTGTAAGTGCTCACAGACATCAAGCACCCTTTATCCCCAGTATTTCTGAAACTCTACCTGCCCCATCCAAAAGCCTGGCTTTTTAAAGTCCTTCCTCATCAAAATCCCAGAAAAAATGGAAATCAAATATGTGAGACACATATTAAATATTTAACATAAATTCAATATGTAAGATTTATAAAAATCAAGATTTTATTTCCATGAATACAACAATATTTAAAAATCATACTTAAAAATCTACAAGTTAAATTATATGTAAACATGATTTTTGTTATTTTTATTCTATGTAGTTTACACTTTGTTTAATTCTAACTTTACTGTGAAGGAAACATTTAAAATGAACTAAGATAATTTTAATCACAAATCAAAATATGTAATATTTTCAATAAAAAGACTTGATCTCTTTTAGCAGGACCAACAGAGAGGGAGTGGGGTGGTGACACAATTCCCTAGACTTCATAACCCAATAATGTATAGTTTCCTTCTGTCCAATAGTAAGTTTCCTTCTGTCCCTGGAGATGGGACTCAAACACACCAGGAGCTCCACTCTTGAGTTACATCTCCAACCCAATATGTGATTCTAATTAAATAAATTCTCTTAATTAATTAAATGAATTCTGAGTTTTTACTTCTTCTATAGAATAAAGAATAAAAATTACCACCACCATTTCCCCCTGCTCCCTCAAAAAAAAAAGAAAAGAAAAAGCACCCATATTTACTCTGCCATCAAAAGCTTTGCTACCTAGAATAATTATGGCATCTTCCCTGACCTCCGTTTCTAAATTGAAGTGTTTTCCAAATACTTTCTGTCTCTAAGGTCTAACCCCACTCTTTCAAAAGGTAAAGACAAAACCCATAGCATGCATACAAGTTTTCTGTTACTGTGAGTATACCACACACCTATAATTCCAGTATTCAGATGGCTGAGGCAAGAGGAGCTTGTATCCCAGGCTAGCCTGGGCTACAGAATGAGATCCTGTCTCAAAAAAAAAAAAAAAAAAAATTGGACTAGGGATGTAGCTCAGCAACAAAGGTATGTGCTTACCATGCATTAGGTACTTAATCCAACACCAACACATTCTCCCTCTCTCCCCTTTTAAATCTAACCTTCAAAGTTGTAACTAAAACTGTTAAAGATTCAGTACTTTCAAACACTATTTATGCATTTATACAATTTTGTGCATTTTGTTTTGTTTGACACAGTACTCCACATAGCACAGGCTGACCTTGAAATTGGGATGACCTTGATCTTCTGCCCTGCCTCTCCCTCCCAAGTGCTGCAATTACAGGCTTATACACTATATACAACTCTATTTGTAATCTTACATAAGGCCAACAACTAAATGTCTTAGAAAAAAAATTGAGGGAAGACAAAGAGCTGGATTACCATGTCAACCAATCAGTAAATTTTAGTATTAAAGAGAAAATTAAATACTTAGAAACTTGTGTTTAAAAAAATAGGGTTGGAAAGGAAAAGAAAATCATGTTAAGAGCTTTTTTTATATGAGAGATTAACAACATTTTTATAGGACATGTGCTCAGCTTCATGATAATCCAAATTAATTCTGATAAAGTTAAAATTATCAAATTGCAAGACTGAAAAGACTCTTAGAGACTGCTGTACTCGGTCAGGTCATGCCGTAAACGAGTCGCTTTCAGCTTCTCCACTTCAATCTTCGCTCTGAGTAGCTCCTCCTCTAGCTGCTGCCTTCTTCTCAATCCATCCCTCTTCTCCTGAACATATAATCCAAAATTCTTCTGATTTTCTAAAATTATCTGATGTTCCTCTTTTAACATTTGCAGGATCTGAGGGTCATATCTTAGCAGAGACCTAAAGTGTTCTCCACTTTCATGATGAAAAAAATCATCTCTCCTTGGAATAGAAGATGGAGATGATGTCATTCTCATATCAACAGAAGAAAGTGATGGAGACAAGGGTTCTTCCATAACATGTACCAGTTCATGCTCTTCTCTTTGCTCTGAAGTATCATTGTGTTGAGGATTTGGAAACAGTGGAGGGGATGACTTAATGTCCTCTTCTTGCTTTACCTCCACTGTAATAGCAACAGGATGGTGATCCACCATTACCTGCAGTGAGCTGGTGCCAGCCTGGGCAGCCTCATCCAAGTTTGCACTATAGCACATGTAAAAAATAAAAAATTATAAATAATAAACATAGTATATTTAAAGAACAATTTCATATTTATATTTCATTATATTATGAAATATAATAATATGCCCTTAGCTGTAAATCTTTGAAGAGAGAGTAATGGCATACACCTATATCCCCAACACTTGGGAGAATGAGACCGGAGAATCTCAAGTTCCATGACAGCATGGGATACATACCGTACTCTCAGTCAAAACAAAAACAAAAACAAAAAAAAAGTTGGGCTGTGGTGGCCCACACCTTTAATCCCAGCTCTCAGGAAGCAGAGGCAGGCAGACCTCTGAGAGCAGCCTGGTCTACACAGTGAGTTCTAGGGCAGTCAGAGCTACACAGAGAAACCCTGTCTCAAAAACCAAACAAACAAACAAACAAAAAAAACCAACAACAACAACATGAGACCATGGGATTTTCTTTGAGGCAGGGGTTCCCAAGTCCCTGCTTTGTAAAGGGTTTATTTCTCTGTGTCTGCTACATACATATGATTCCTCACCTCACAAAAAGCCTTTCTTCAACTGCTGAAAAAATATATACATAATGATTTGAAACTATACAAAAAGTGTTTAATACAAAAAAATGACTAAGACTATGACTTTAATAATATACACATATAGGTCTCCTCCATCCTTAATCTGTTGTTTTGTGATGCTGATAACTGAGTGAAGCTCTCTATCTACATGCCTAGCCCTCTGCTCTTAAATTTAGTATTAGGCTCTCACAATGACAGAAAATTACAAATACTATTCAAACTTAGTAAGATAAATAAAGAAAAGCCATTTTATGAGTGCCTATGTGGGTGTGGGTGTCTGTGTTGTGTACACATATGAGATCTAAGGACATTGTCAAGGGTCTTCCATTGCTCTCTACCTTTTTTTTTTTTTTTTGACATAGAGGCTCTTACCATGAGCGAAGGCAGCTGGCCAATGAACTTCAGTTCTCCCAGTCCTCCTGGTGCCAGGAATACTGCCATTTCTAGCCTTTGACTTGTGTGCTGGGGGCCTGGATACAGATCCTCATGCTTGTGTGGCAGGCACTTTATTGACAGAACTATCTCACCAGACTTAAGAAACCTTTAAAAATTAAAAAAAAAAAAAAAACTTTTTAGTACATGTATTTATTTGTATGTATTTGGAGGTCAGAATACAATATATCAGAGTTGGTTCTCTCCTCTCTCCTTAGGTACTAGGATCAAAGGCAAGTCATCAGGCTTGGCACAAATACTGCCCAGAAAAGCTATTTTAATGTTCTCAAAGAGACATTATTTGTCCCTACATTGTTGAGATTCTTAAATGTTGTAAAGAATCATTTGGTGTGTTCCCCTGCTTTTGTTCTCCTGGATTGATCTACAAGCCATAAAACATGATGACTCTGAGGAAGACGGTAGACTATTTATGGAACCAAACATTTTGCCACTGTTATGAATCATAATGTAGCTATCCGATATGGGGGATATCTGATATTCTACCCCTGAAGTAGGTCACAACCTACAGGTTGAGAACCGCAGATCTAAACTAAAGTATGTGATAAGAAAAGCTTAAAACCATAAAAGTTATTTTAAATTATATTTATAATTTCTACAGCAAAGTAACATATAGCATATAGACATTATACTCCCATATAAATTAAAAATATGCTTATGCCTAGATTATTCACTTCATTTTGGTGAAACATTATAAATAATAAAACAAAAACTTAGAGAAAGTCTCAAGAAAGGTAAACAGAACTAAAAATTTCTAAAAACTGAAAATCTAAATTTAGAGGATCAAAAAGATTATAAAACATAAATTATAATCTGCTTTTTAGAGACATAAAATTGTTAAAAAATCATTCGAAGTTGTTAAATAAGTTACAAAATAGAATACTTTAAAAAACATTGCGCCAGGCGTTGGTGGCACACACCTTTAATCCCAGCACTCGGGAGGCAGAG